TTTAAATGATTGTAGACTACAGGAGCACTTGATAGTTGTAGGCAGGCTATTCCAAAAGAAAGGAACCATCCGCGAGAAGTCCTGCAAGCGTGAGTTGGCTGTACGGGTGCGAGCAGCAGACAGGAGTAGGTCATGGGCAGAGCGGAGAGACCGAGAAGGGGCATACCTGCAGATCAGTGAAGAAGTATAGGAGCTAGAATCGGTCAGTGCTTTATAGGTGTGGTTTAGTACCTTGAATTGACTCCTGTAGGATAAAGGAAGCCAATGTAAGGGCTGACAGAGGGGAGAGGTGTGAGAGGTGCGACAAGAGAGGAAAATCAGTGTAGCTGCAGCATTCATTACAGACTGTAGTGGGGCAATACGACTTGTGGGAAGACCTATTAGGAGAGAGTAACAATAATCCATGCAAGTGATTACTAGAGCACGGACAAGCTCCTTAGTAGCATCTTGTGTAAGAAAGGGGCCGATGCGGGCTATGTTTTTAAGTTGGATTCTACAGGATTTGGTAACAGACTGGATGTGAGGCTCAAATGTGAGTCCAGAATCAAGTATAATGCCAAGACAGTCCACTTGCAAGGATGGACTGATGTGGATACCACTCACTTGAAGGGAGAGCAAAAGAGGGGGATCAGTATTAGGAGGATGAAAGACAAGGAGTTCAGTTTAAGAGAGACTGAGTTTCAAAAAGTGGGGGGACATCCAATCAGAGATGGAGGAAAGGCAAGCAGTTACATGTTGCAGGACGGCAGGGGAGAGGTCCGGGGAGGAGAGGTATATCGAAGTGTCATCAGCGTACAGGTGGTATTGCAATCAAAATGAGGTAATAAACTTGCCAAGAGACGCAGTATACAGAGAAAATAGAAGGGGGCCAAGTATAGAGCATTGGGGGACTCCAACAGAGACAGGATGAAGGGAGGAGGTATCATTAGAAATGGAGAAACTGAATGAGCATTGGGAGAGATATGAGGAAAACCAAGAGAGGACAGTGTCAAAGAGACTGAGTGATTGAAGAGTTTGTAGAAGGAGAACATGGTTAACAGTGTCAAAGGCAGCAGAGAGGTTGAGAAGAATTAGTATAGAGAAATGCCCTTTGGATTTAGCTGCGATTAGGTCGTTAATAAGACTAATAAGAGCAGTCTCAGTATAGTGGAGGGGGCGGAACCCAGACTGAAGAGGGTCAAAGAGAGAGTTGGAATTGAGGAAGCAAGTCAGATGGGTAAAGACAAGTCTTTCCAGAAGCTTTGAGGAAAAAGGGACCAGGGATATGGGACAATAGTTAGAAGGGGAGGATGGGTCAAGAGATGTTTTTTTTTTTTTTTTAAGATGTGTACTACAGTAGCATGTTTAAGGGCAGTAGGGACAACACCAGAAGAGAGAGAGCAGTTGAAGATGTGTGTTAGGGAAGACACAAGACAAGAGGAGAGAGATCTGATAAGGTGAGACAGGACAGGATCAAGCGGGCAAGTGGTGGGTCGAGAGTAAAGGAGAAGCGGAGTCACCTCTTGTTCAGTAGCCTGGGAGAAAGTCTGAAGGGCAGGCAAGGCATGACCTACGTGTGGTTGAGAAAGAGAGGGGCAAGGTGGTGAGAATTCTTTCCTTAGCTGTTCAGTCTTGTCAGTAAAGAAGCATGCAAAGCTACACAGAAATTCACAAAATGTATTTACCATGAGCTGTGGCTTGTTTTGTTTTTCGATTAGTGTTTACTGTGATTCAGTGACTAAGGATGTAAGGTCGCATTCCATTTGTTTGACTTGTTTTTATAAGCTACTTGTTGCTCCACACCCAGATATGTATATTTTCAATCAATATCCTCCTGTCATCCATATAGTCCTAACAGTTCTCCTCTCTTTAGTTACTGGCAAGAAGAAAACCTTTGATTACTTTTCAACTTCAATACAAATGGCTGTTTAGTTAAAGCTTTGTGATGTTAGCTATATATAAAATTGGATCACAAAAAAACCAAACTCTTCCTAAACACTGACAAAACTGTCACAATGATCTTTGGAACAGTACCTAAAACAGTACCTACATTACACAAATTACAAAACTCCCATCTATGCATCAAAACAGGACCCACCATTGTGACATGCTAAAAGAACTAAACTGGTTCTCGCTGGACTCCAGACGCACCCTTCATCTTTCTAGCCTTGTGTTTAAGAGCTTTTCTGGGAACTCCCGCCCTCCCACCTCTGTTCCCACCTCCTATAACCTCCGATCCAGTACCAGCACTTTATTTAGTCTACCTCAATACAAAAAGAAAGCAGCTCGATCCTCCTTTTCCTACAGAGTGCAGCAATTATGGAACAACCTCCCGCACACTTTCAAATCTCCCCTAAGCCTAAAGTCCTTTAAGAGATCCCTCTCTACATACCTCAAAATAGAATGCACGTGTGACTGTTGATTATATATTTCCTACCTGTTCTATTTTAAATTTTGTATATATTGTCTATTAATATTGTTTTTGTATTTTATTGTACCCTATTGTATCAATGCAAAGTTTTGTGGACCCAGGACATACTTGAAAACGAGAGAAATCTCAATGTATCTTTCCTGGTAAAATAGTTTATAAATAAATAAAATAATAAATAATATCTAATGTGTCTACGCATTGTCATATTTTCAAGCACAATATAGAGGGTAAATGTTATTACTAATAAAAAAATAATGAAAAATGTGTGCTGTTAAATCTTTAAATAGATATATTGTGCAAACAACAACAAAAAAATAATCCCGAAGCTGTAATTTCCTAGAACCAGCTCCCAAAAACACATGTGAAAATAATACATCAGCATAATGGAATTATGCTCGAAACGGGACTAAAATACGTATCACAGGAGACGTTTCATGATTAGCATTATATTAAAGTTGTTTTTTGAGACTTTCTGAACACTGTGTTGGTATATTATTTTTAAATGTTGTAACTAGTTTAAAGCATAACTTCATCCACATACTTGTATCTGATAGGTATACTTTCAAAACAATTCTATGTCATCTTTGTCTCTTTAAAATACATGCAATATTTCATAAATCCCAATAAACATGAATAGAAATTAAATGTCTTCCATTGTCCACTAGATGGGGGTATTGCTCTTATATTGTAACAAATGTAAACTGCATTATCTGGATGCTTTTAAACCCTATTGCATAATGGTATTTGTTGGCACTGATAGTATTGTCATTATTTTTTCCCTTGATGCTGGCTGGTAGAGTGGATTTCCATCTAGGGTGTAATAAATTATTTACAATGCCTTAATAGATATTGTAGAGTGGTGATCATACATTTTTGTTAAAATAAATTCAGTAAGTGCAGAAATCACTAGCACTAATGAGATTTAAATCCAGCTTGTTAAATGCAACTGGGGTAATATTGATGAATAACTCACACTGCCTCCCTACACACAACACACAGCCTTGCCAGCTACAACATACAGAGCCTCCCAATTCACATCACATACAGCCACCATCTTAATCAGCATCTCAGCACACACACCTACCTCTACAGATGTGTACCTCGTGTTTTATGTATTTATTGATATATACTCAATAAAAGACAAACTGCTTTTGATAATTTAGTTATGAAGGATAGTGTCATTCATCGAAGAAACTACGTTTTTTAAGGCAATGCTCTTCAATAAACCTGGTTATAAACCTTTCTGTATTTCTTTGTTTGTGTTCTGGTGTATCTGATTTTTACCTCTAATCGGTTAATAAGCTAACACAAACTGACACAAAAGTTACATTATTGATCTGTTTGCCTTTATTCAAAATAACAGCTTTGGTCTCGATACAATCATTTTTTGTCGGGGTGGGGGGGGTATTTTTTATTAATTTTTGGGGGTGTATCTTTGTTATTAAAGAAACACTATAGGATCAGGAATATAAATGTGTATTTCTGGCCCTATAGTGTTAAAAGCACTATTTAGGTTCCTGGCCTCCACTTGCCCCCCTACAATAAGGTTAGAACTTTTAGAACTTACCTTTTTTCCAGTGTCACTTGGTTCCGCCTCCTTGACTGAGATCATCAGAATTAAAGGGACACTATAGTCACCTGAACAACTTTAGCTTAATGAAGCAGTTTTGGTGTATAGAACATGCCCCTGCAGCCTCACTGCTCAATCCTCTGCCATTTAGGAGTTAAATCCCTTTGTTTATGAACCCTAGTCACACCTCCCTGCATGTGACTTGCACAGCCTTCCATAAACACTTCCTGTAAAGAGAGCACTATTTAGCCTTACTTTATTGCAAGTTCTGTTTAATTATGATTTTCTTATCCCCTGCAATGTTAATAGCTTGCTAGACCCTGCAAGAGCCTCCTGTATGTGATTAAAGTTCAATTTAGAGATTGAGATACAATTATTTAAGGTAAATTACATCTGTTTGAAAGTGAAACCAGTTTTTTTTTCATGCAGGCTCTGTCAATCATAGCCAGGGAGGTGTGGCTAGGGCTGCATAAACAGAAACAAAGTGATTTAACTCCTAAATGACAGTGAGTTGAGCAGTGAAATTGCAGGGGAATGATCTATACACTAAAACTGCTTTATTTAGCTAAAGTAATTTAGGTGACTATAGTGTTCCTTTAACCATTTAAGCCAATCCAATGCTTAACCATAGTAATTGGGAGGCTATTGCGCATGCACAGCAAAATGCTGTGCTGGCCTGTCAGCATCTCCTCATAGAGATACATTGAATGCAACTCTATACACGGAAAGTACAGTGCCTCCAGCACTGACCCAGGAAACCTCTAGTGCTTCCACTGAGGTGTTCATAGGGAGCAGTGTTTACAAGAAAATGCCTGCAGGGACATATTATACACACCAGAACAACTACATTAAGCTGTAGTTGTTCTGGTGACTATAGTGTCCCTTTAAGGCTAAACGACATGTCGCAATCACGTTTTGGAAAACTACTAGCCTACAATTGCACACGGTAAAAGGATAAAGAAAAGGAGTTGAGGGCTGCGCTTAGCAAAGAATAAACAAAAAAGGTAAAAAATAAATAAAGGTAAAAAACAATAAGTTCATCCACATATAAGAAAAGTATAAGTTTTAACTTATACTTTTCTTATATGTGGATGAACTTATTGTTTTTTACCTTTATTTATTTTTTACCTTTTTTGTTTATTCTTTGCTAAGCGCAGCCCTCAACTCCTTTTCTTTATCCTTTTGCCTTATAAGGGTTCTGTGAGGGATTCCCTTTCAGGGTTGCTGCTCAATTGAGTAAGCGCAGACTCTTCCCCTCTATTTTTATCATTTGTATAATTCCCTCTAGAGTCAGCAGCCTTCTCAATATACCACTATGTCTATATTCGACTATAGGAATAATTATATTATTGATGTTGAAAATGTGTTTGACACGGAGGCAATTAGCCCAATCCAGATAAACTATCCTAATTTTAACCAAGAAGAATTGTTTATTAAATTAGAAAGATCACTTACTTCTGAAATAAAACTAAAATGGGAAATAGCCACTCTAAAAAAATATATTGATGAAAGAATTACTCCCCGAGGCCTAAGACTGCTAAAATTACCCACCTCCGATCAAGACGACCCTGAATTTATGGAGGAGTGGAATAACAAATTGGAACTATGTACTCTAGGCCTAATGGAAACTTTAGTAGTAAAAAAAAGTAAAAAATTGTCCATTTTAGACCTAGAAATCAACAATCTAAGAGACAAACTATTACCCTTCACTGAGACACAAGCCTATAATCAGAACTGTATATTAATTCAAAGCAAGATTGAAAAAGTTGAGATAGACACAAAACATATCAAAATAAAAAAATACATTAGAGATAAGACAGATTATTCAAACAAACAGGTACGCACGTATCATTTGAATAGAAAATACACTACACAAAACCATAAGGACTACCCCCAAACTAATAGGAACCACACAAGGAACGATACACTTTTCCCAACAAGAAGAACCACTGCTAACTACCGTCAACAAGACCACCACTACAATCACAATCTATATTCCAATCACACCAAGAAATTCCCACAGTCACCCTACAAACCTCAACGATCACACAAGCCACCAGCTGAATTCTACTCTGGACCTCCAGTTGAACCTACAGTTAGACCAAAATATCAGTCAACCTATTACAAACAAAAATATACACACTCTTCACCACCTAAAAAATATACCACCAACCTATACAAGAGAAATTTCTCACCTAAACCCCAAAGACCTAGATATATCAATGACCGAATTGAACGACCCAAATCACCCAGTATTCCTCACCATTCTAATAGATATCAGCTACTATCAATTTATTCCGAATTTGAAAATGAGGATCATTTTTTAGAAATTCGCACCCACCCAAGCACTCTGAATCAAACACCTCACCCGTCACGATCACAAAAAAGAACCCTAAGTATAGAGGAAGAAGAAGTGGCAGACGGGAACAAGAGAGAAAAAATAGAAAGATAATAAGTCCACCCAAAAACTTGAACAGTGGGATTTTTAATCTTTCACAAAAAACTCTCACTATAGCCCAACTGTCGGTTCTGAATAAAGGTCTCAAATTTGCTCCAACCAATTCTTTTAATTCCTTTGAAGCTTTTATTGATATTAACAAGTTTGTCCGCAAAGCAACCCTGAAACGTTATTTTAATGAGAAAATTGAAGAAAATTCTATTCTTAACAATCCCACTGACAATAGTGCAATTTTATCCTCCACCTCTTCTCCAAAAAAACAAATTATCAATACGCATTTTAAAGAAAAATCTAAATTTTATCCAGCTTTTATGAAAACTGCCCCTTTAACTGTCTTTGAAAAATTAGTTACACAAGACCTAAACAAATTACAGACCAATAAATATGATAAACAAAATTTAACAAACAAAGAAAAACAAGCACTTACAGAACTACAAGATGACAACGACATTGTAATAAAACCTGCCGATAAAGGTGGTGGTCTGGTCATCTTATCGAGTGCCATGTACATTGAAGAAGCGCTCAGACAACTAAATGACCCAGAAGTCTACGAAAAACTCCTATTAGATCCAACAAAAACTATTCAGACCCTCTTTTTAACGTTTTTAAATAAAGGAATATCTCAAGCTATTTTAACTAAGCAAGAATATAACTTTTTAAATAAAAAATTTCCTAAAATTCCAGTAATATACTTCCTGCCAAAGATACATAAAAATGCTACTAACCCTCCAGGTAGACCGATAGTGTCAGGGATAGATTCGCTCCTATGCAACCTATCCCAGTACATAGACAATCTTCTGCAGCCTGCTGTCAAAAAGATGAAGTCTTATCTTCAGGATTCTATGTCCCTTTTAAACTTTTTAAATGATTTTAAATGGGACCCTAATTTTATTCTGGTCACCTGTGACGTCCAATCACTCTACACGATCATACCTCATGATATTGGATGCGAAGCCATTAGAAATATTTTAAAAAAGGAAGATAGAATTCCGGAAGTACAAATTGATTTTATTCTAGAGGGTATCAATATCATTTTAAAAAACAATTATTTTTGGTTTTTAGACTCTTTTTACCTCCAAAGAAGAGGAACCGCTATGGGTACCAGGTTTGCCCCCAGTTATGCCAACCTATTTATGGCAGACTGGGAATCAACAGCTATCTATAATGGCAATCACTTAAGGGCAAACCTGGTCTCATATTTTAGATACATTGATGACCTCTTTTTTATCTGGAATGGATCGGAAGATAGTCTTATCTCTTTTTTTAATGTTCTTAATACCAATAATAGGGGCATAATTTTAACTCACGATTTTAGCAAAGAACAAATAAATTTCCTAGATCTCAATATATTTATAAAAAATGGGAAAATTAATACAAAAACCTTCTTTAAAGAAGTCTGTGTCAACACAGTCATCGACAAAAATAGTTGCCACTATAAACCGTGGCTTGACAGTGTTGCAAAACAGCCGATCCTACAATGCCACCTAAAATAATACAATTTATGTCAAATAAAACCAAAACCTCCTTTAAAATAAAGGAATTCATTACATGTAACACTAAAAATGTCATTTACTTACTGGAATGCCCATGTGGCTTCCAATACGTCGGAATGACCACCAGATGTTTAAAAATAAGATTAGGTGAGCACTGTAGGAATATTAAGAATGGTTTTTTAAATCACTCTCTATCTAAACATTTCTTAATTCACAATAAAGACCCCAAAATGTTAAAATATATGGGAATTAAGAAATGTTCTCTACCCTGGAGAGGAGGAGATATAAAAAATATTTTAGGTAAAACAGAGATGGAATGGGTCTATAAGCTACAGACCCTAATACCCAACGGACTTAATGCAGATTTTGATCTGCATAATTTTTTATAGAAAATTTTTTTTTTAGAAAGTCTTTTAATCATATTTTATACCTATCTTGTGTTACCATCATGTCTCACCTTTATTTATGTCATACCCTGATTTTTAAAGCATATATTTTTTATTACTCTGATGCTATATTTATTTATTATTCTTTTTTTATTATATATCTTTACTTTTAGCAAAAAGTGCTTTTAAATTATGTTTATATTATTATTATGATTTTATATCATGGTCTACATCTATTGCATCTATTGTATGTTCTGTGCCTTTTATAAAAACACAAAGTCTGTGGAGGTTATATTTAAATATGTTATTTATTACATATTGGGGTCTTATATCATAATAATTATTTCACTCCTGGTGTTTAAAAGCATGTATGGGTGCCCAGTGACCGGCTGGACTTCATTTCCCAACATACTTTGCATTACCAGCCGGCCACCGAGCACTCCGTTCACACCAGGAAGTGTTTCGCCGAAAAAACGATCTGCGCATGCGCGCAGCATTCCGATCACGTGATCGGAACCAACAACTAATTACATCGTCCCAAAGCTTCGTTTTTATCATATGTATATATTTTAAGCCTAATCAGGCTTATAGCAATGCATTTATCATGTTTAAAAGTTGTTTTGATATGTATTTTAAATTTTGATTGTAATTTCCTCTGTGATTGGTGCATCAAATTTTGGCGCCATTTTCAAACCCTTGTGAGCCTATATATACAACCTTTTGCCAGGTGTACTGTTCTTTTACCATTTTGAAAAAACCTTAAAGGTGAAACGCGTAAATGGTTATTATAAGTGTATTTTAGTCAATAAAAGTTATTTTTTGGTTACCTTCAATATAGGACCAATTCTCTACTTATTTTATTGTACTATATACTCTTTAATTTACTTATTTTTTACTCCTGGCATATTTTTACTATATAAAATTATTTTAATTATTTTAAATTACTCCAAAATTTTAAATTTATTTTTATTTCTTTTTAATTTTATTTTATACTTTTACTGTATTATTTTATTTTATTATTCACCACTGGAGTGCATCCCGTCTAAAGAAATCCTGAGGTGGGGATAATTCCACCAGCGCTGTGGGAATAGAGCAGTATCTGTCTGCTCTATTTTTGTAAGTATAACTGATTTTTACATATTACTGTGTTGTTCAAACTGAGAGCACTATCTGCTGTTTTATATATCTCGTGGACACCTACCATCCAATACTGGAAAGGCGGACCTATCTCCCCAGCATAACGAATATTGCACATCTGAGTAGGTCCTAGCCTACACCAAAGAAACTTCAAACCGGACGGACAGATCAACTGTTCAGTATATCCGATAGTGGGGATCAAACCACTAAGTGCCTTCTCCCCGAGAGCTGGATAAAGCTCCAACAAATGTGAGTGAAATACCTTTTCCTTTGAATATATATTTCTCTTTGGACATACAATATTTCACCATTGGAAGCCTTTCTTCTCTCATTTTTTGTCTTCACATATATGGACCACCCACCACAAGGACGGAGTGACATTTGAGGACTTATATTATATCACTGCACATCAGTGAGATTGTTTTAACTTATACTTTTCTTATATGTGGATGAACTTATTGTTTTTTACCTTTATTTATTTTTTACCTTTTTTGTTTATTCTTTGCTAAGCGCAGCCCTCAACTCCTTTTCTTTATCCTTTTGCCTTATAAGGGTTCTGTGAGGGATTCCCTTTCAGGGTTGCTGCTCAATTGAGTAAGCGCAGACTCTTCCCCTCTATTTTTATCAATTGCACACGGTAGTGTA